ACACACACACACACACACACACACACACACACAGGGCATGTGTCCGTATAAAAGAGTCAGAAGATGGAGAGAAAACCAAAGACAGTTTTATAAAGACAAAAGTTAATATTTATTAAATCTAAGACTTTTCATAAACAAATATCACGTGGAAAAAAGGCAACAAAAGAAGCAACCAAATAATTTGCTAAATAATCTCACATCCCAACAAAACAGAAACAGAGCTGGAATTGTGACTAGTTCCAAATATCGATCATATCCAAGCAAAATATTCCCAGAAAGGTTTCTCCGATTCTGACCATAAAGAACCACAGGATGAATCTCACAAAACATGTCAGGGTCACATTTATTTATTTTTTTTAAAGAAAAACATTTTTTTTGTAAATCCTATTATTCTCAATGGTGATTCTCAACAGTAATTTATCAACACAACCATGAAGTATGAATACTTTACGGTTTAAATAAAATATTATATTATTATTATTATTATTGTTATTATTATAAACAACTCTGCATTACAGAAATGAGAAAGAGTTTTTTTTTATTATTATAGTAATGACAATTTGAGGGATAACATTTACGAACAAAATGCAAAAACAAGGTCCTAAAATGCTTCTGTCTTTATGCAAAATATAATTTTTTATTTCTTTAATGTTATGGAAAAATGTGATCCAAACATGTTTTCATGAGATTCACCTCACTAGTGATGTGCACCACAAAAAAACAGAAGAAAACAGTCCATGTCTGCTGGTACTGCAGGTTTGGCCCCTCTGCTGTTCAGGACAGGAAGGGCAAGATGACTCCTGCAAAGTCCCACGACTACCTGAGACTACTTCAGGTGTGTGTGATCAGAGCAATAATTGCCAGAGGATTGAGATGTGTGTGTGTGTGTGTGTCCAATCACAACTGTAAGAACTGTAGTTGTATAAATACAAAATGACACATTTATTACTTCATGTATGAGGTTGTTGATGTGTTCAAGCTCTATAAGCAGTCCATAGAGTTGTCAGGCATGAGTCCAAGGGGCGGGGCTTTGCCAGGCATGGAGGTGGGCGGGAGCATGGCATTGGGGGCGGGGTCTACATTCTCCGAATCTTCCATCTTTTCCATAGTAGCCTCCCAGTTAATGTGGAAACGGGTCACTCGAGGGTTAGACGCCAAGATGTTCCTTTGCAGCTGCGAATCGGCACAAAAAAACGATGATGAAAAATCAAAAAGAACAATAATTTGAATTGTTTGGATTTGAATCTGTCAGCGTTACACTGTAAAGACTCAATGCTAACATTACTCCTTAAAATATCATTTACTGTAGGGCCCATTAGATCAGTTATGCTTATTAATGTTAATAAAAATACAAGTGTTGGTGTTAATAATGTATTAGCACATTTTGAAATTAACATTAAGTGCTTTAGAAGTAATTTTCATTGTTAGTTCATGTTAACTAATGTTAGCAAATGACATCTTATTGTAAAGTGTTACCAATACATTATTATTATAATTATTATTAAAATATATCTCAGTAGTGGTGACCATTTCTATGCTTAAAACAAACTGTTTTATGTGTCGAATGTGAACTGAGTTAATATTCATCAAGCGGTTTAAGAATCTCGATTCACAACAGAATGAATGCATGGAAATATGGGATTCTGTAACAATACACAAAATGGCAGCGACCCGGAATCGTTTAGCAGAATGAATGAATTACAAACGATATCGGACTGAAAACGGCAGCCACCTGCCTCTTTGATCTGACCGGCATTACCACATTTCAAATGCAGCAGATCTGTGTTACACGAATACACTCTCAATATTTGTGACCCTGGAGCACAAAAGCAGTCTTAAGTCGCTGGGGTATATTTGTAGCAATAGCCAAAAATACATTGTATGGGTCAAAATTATTGATTTTTCTTTTATGCCAAAAAGCATTAGGATATTAAGTAAAGATCATGTTCCATGACAATATTTAGTAAATTTCTTACTGTAAATATATTAAAACTTAATTTTTGATTAGTAATATGCATTGCTAAGGACTTCATTTGGACAACTTTAAAGGCGATTTTCTCAATATTTTGATTTTTTTGCACCCTCAGATTCCAGATTTTCAAATAGTTGTATCTCGGCCAAATATTGTCCTATCCTAACAAAAAAATCAGCTTATTTATTCAGCTTTCAGATGATGTATAAATCTCAATTTCGAAAAATTGACCCTTATGACTGGTTTTGTGGTCCAGGGTCACATATAACATGCATAATGTCTACTGAGTGTTAATGGGCTTTCTGGTCTAAATTCAGTTTCCCTTTCATATCTCTGTTCCAATTCACCAGTAATAGACTAGATATTTAGTAATATAAGTATATGATATTAATAAGCTGGAATAATAATGTCTTACCTGTGTGTAGTTGGGTTTGACAGGTGGGTTTTCCCGCAGCTCAGGGTCTGTGTACTCATTGTTTACATAGTAACCAATGCGAATGAATTCCTGTCCCCGATAGGTGCATGTGATCAGCACGACGGTCACGCCCACTGCATCGCTCTCGGGGATCAGCCCTGTGTTTGGAGCGTCCGCCTGTCAATCAAGTCAAGAGAGAAAAACTCTGCTGTTTCCAAGCCGTTTTTGTAGCTTGCAGATGGTAAATATTCTGGTACCTACAAATGACCCTTTGCATTTCATGACCAATCCAAGGTATGCATTTAATGATGCTTTGAACTGTATCTAGCATCACAGTAAAAACAAACAAGAACCTGTGCACTTGGTGAGACCATCCCATAGTCTTATCTGAAACAAAGCTGGACCTCAGGCCAATTCAAAACCACTGAGAGCAAAAACAACCTTGCTAACTATTTAGGGACTCATCTAAACATTGAAATGGAAACAGACAGTAGCATATACATATTAATCTGGCTAGCAACTAGCTTTAATGGTCATTTGTTTAATGTTTCATTGTTTTTGTGCTTTTTATGGAATGGAGATGAGATGAGCACGCATCTCTACGCAAATTTACAGATGTACTTTCTCAATTCATCTCTAGGTGGCAGTGGACTGCAATTTATTTTCTAAAACTGTATTATTTATATGACTTAGAAGTGAGATTTGGTTGCAGGAAGCTGACCTTACTGCACTGAACCAGGCTGAACAAGTATTTCCCAGAGCGTAACGACTAACCCACCTGAAACACAAACATATGCCTGCCTGCAGGGACTGGGCCGACCAGAACCGAGTCCAGGACCTGGTCATACTCCTCACTCTCCGCAGAGCCCACGTAGATGATCTTCCACTCCAGATCTGAGAGGCAGAAACCGAGAGATAAGCTATTCTTGTTTCTAACACTAAATAGATAGACTAACAATACCAAACAATGAGAATTTAGCGCAAAATTACAAGGATGCGAGTTTACATGCTTAAAAAACTGAACATCCTTTGAAGTCCTTATATTATGTATTCCAGGTTTCATACTTGATTATGATTTGTGGAGTATCATTTGAGGTTTTGTAGAACAAACGTGACAATTCCATAACACAAGGTTAACCAAAAACCTTTTTCTATTTATAAATCAAACACTGCTATTTTTAAAAGGTGGGTAATATAACTCTGTTGTAATCATTTGAATGGGCGTATTATTTGGCCATTAAGTGTCATATTATTAATCATTGCTAAAATGGTGGATATAAGTGAAAACAGTAAGATAAAAATGTTCTTCAGTTCCGTTTAGTGAAAAACTGTGGAAACATGCCTAGATAAAGTTGTCTTTCTTTTAAGACTATGATAACAATTATTGTAGTAAAATATGATCAATTTAGCAAACAAAATAGAGGATAACTAATATAAATGTAAGGTGTTTTACGACACCAAGGCGCAAGTTCTGCCCCAAATTATTTATTTATTTTTGTTTTGAATAAATGATTGAACATTACAATACATTTTAACAATTAAGTCCACATGCACAAGAAATCTGAGAACAATCTGTAAGACAGCATTTAAGAGAATAATAATAATAATAATAATAATAATAATAATAAATTCTGCCCCAAAATCGTCACACCGCCTCCCGACGCGTGACGTCACGCAAAATCCAACCAATCGGAGAAGGCACAGATACATTGTTCACGCCCCTCGTCCACTATCGGACTAATCAGGGAAGGAGGGGCGGCCTCGCGCTGTCTGAGAACTCCCCGCCGGCGCCAAAATATTGAGCGCGTGAACATTAACGAACGACTGACAATAAGATTTTTCTCGCTTAAATCACCATAAGTAAATATTCCTGTGGTTCTTGGTGTTTAAGACGTAATGACACCGTAAAAGCCATTCGAAGCCTTCAGTATTTACAAAGTAATTGCAGAATACGTGTAACATCTCTCACCTTCAGGTAGGTCCTCCATACACTCAAATGTGATTTCGAATTGAAACGGGTTTCCAAAAGGACTGGGATTATCCAGAACAGACACGTTTAGCACCTGCACTTTAGCCATGACGGCTCACAAGATTCGAGCAACAGAAATCGGCCTTGTGTTTACAAAAGAGAGCCTCTTAAAAACGGTCCAGATCACTGTAAATCTGAAGTAAATCCAGCAGAAATGTAAAACCGGAGTCGGATTGACAAAACGATCCTTTGTTGGAGCAGGGTTTTCCCTTGATGAGGTTAATTTGTACTTTTTAAACTAACCAGATGGTCGCGATACATCCATTTTATTTATTGTTGGAACAGCTTGAAGAACATATCATTTAGTGCAGGTCTTGCGTGAACATGGTTTTAAAAACCAAATAAAAGAGTCAAAATGCGTCCTTTCCACGGGATCCTGAAGGAAAAACGTCCTTAAATGCAACAAAGACAGCAGTGCTCTGGAGCTGATCTTCTTCTTCTAATGTTTATTGGCGGTTGGCATACTAGCTTATTAGTGCATTACCGCCACCATCTGAGCTGGAGTGTGGAGCATCGATGCATGTATATATATATCATATATGTATGTATATCATACTAAATAATAATAATAGTCATAAACAAATAAATAAACATCATTATATTCTTATATAATTTCCTGTATCTTTAAGAATTTTAACAAAGCAAAGCAAATCTAATATTCTTATTCCTTTTTAGCTTACTTAATATATCATCTAACATCATGCTTCCACCTTCTTCCATTACTTTAGCTTCTAGCATTTGTCATTCGTTGTTATATGCTCTACAGTGCATGCTCTACAGTTTCAAAAATCCCACAATGCATGCATAATCCATTCGGATGTTTCTTGATTCTGTTTAGATCTCCATTTAATGCAGCATGTCCTATTTTAATGCTGATGTTCTTCTTCTTTTGATGTTTTATGGTGGTTGGCAAACCAGATTTTGGTGCATATTCCGCCACCTACTGGGATGGAGTGTGAGGCGATGATATCAAGGGACATGCTAATTAAAAAAAAAAATCCTTCTACCTATATTTTATTATATACATTTGTTCTTTTCAGAAATTGACTAATATCCTTATCACCTTTATGAGATCTGTTTAACACATTCTGTAATGTCATAGAATTAATGCCAGCAGATTTTAATTCCTTTTTTAACTGTATTCTTTCCCTTTCATATGTCCTACAGTTAATCAGCACATGCTCTACAGTTTCTGGAAGTCCACAATGATTACATTGACCAGATTCATGTTTTCCTATGATCTGGAGTGATTTATTAAGAGTAGAGTGTCCGATTCTCCATCGAGATATAACTGTTGGATCTGATGTTTCTCTTCCTCTCTGAAGACTTCAGTCTGATAAACCTGCTCTCTGCAGCGTTCTGCTGGACTGGAGGAAATCTCGCCATAGTCGGGTGTCAAATACAGTGAAGCAGATGCACAAGAATATGAAATGAAAACACAAATGCTGAGATAAAACTGCCAGTCAACAATTTTATTAAGAAAGAAAGCAATGCATATCAAAAGCAGTTCCACAGACACTTAATATATTAACATGGATCCTGGACATATTAACATGCTGCTATAATGGAGCAAGACATTGAACACATCAGAGGTTTGGTGTGCAATAGTACCCTTTCATTTGAAAGCAGTTAATTGGACTGGAACCTCAATCGGATATTATACATTCTCATATCACAATAAGAATGATTCCATAAGGTAATACAAGTAAAAGCATGACAAGACTAGATGAACCCTATTTCTCACAAATCCCTTTTCTCGTGTCTGAGCATGAACGATCATTCCAGTTGTTCAGGTTGTGTTTTTCAGGATTCAGTTCAATACAGTCCTCATCTCCACCAAAGTTATTTGGCTCACCCTTGAACCAAAACCTGAATAAAACGGGTCAGATGTTCAATTATTCAGGACCACAAATGTTCAATCCTATCAACCACAAAGTTTTTACTTATTCAGCAACTAACAAATGAGGAGCATCACAAGCATTTCATGAATCAACAATGCTAACAGCACCTCAAAGTTTTGAGAGTAAACTAAAGTAGTACAGAAGCTTGAGCAGAAGTGAAAATGCAGAAAACTGAAAGAAAGAAGGTTTTTTGTTTTTTTTGGGGAAAACCTTAAACCGCATAAACACATTGCATTACACCAAATACACAAAATAATGTTATTTTTGGCAACGTCATATGATCCCTTTAATGGACTATATCCACATTTACTTCCTGGTTTTAGATAAGCCAGCTCAGTCATTTTCGGTCAACTGTCAAAATCAGCTGTGCTATAAGGGGAGCGCCCTAGTTTTTAAACAGTACGATTTTTAATGTTTTTTAAAGAATTATCTTCTGCTCACCAAGCCTGCATTTATTTGATCCAGTCTTCAGTGTCACATGATCCTTCAGAAATCATTCTAATATGCTGATTTGCTGTTCAAGAAACATTTCTGATTATTATTATTATTATTATTATTATCAATATAAAAACCAGTTGAGTACATTTTTCAGGATTCTTTGATGAATAGAAAGATTTAAAGATCATCATTTATCTGAAATAAAAAGCTTTTGTAACATTATACACTATACCATTCAAAAGCTTGGAGTCAGTATATATGTAACTAATCTCACTCCAGCCAGGCAACCAAAGTTGGCAACCCTGTGTACACATTAGGGCTGTGCGATATTGAAGAAAAATGCGATAACTCATTAAATAATGCGATAGTCGATATGCGATACGATAATGCTTAAAGTGCCACATGCTCAGATGAAACAGTTGTTCACTCAGCTGTTGCTGAGTCAGTTCTGTGAACTTCTATAACTATCTTGTGTCATATATATATATATGGTTATTTGTATGTATGTATGCGTGTACCAAGAGTTCCTGTAATATATATACTGTATATATATATATGGTTATTTGTATGTATGTATGTATCAAGAGCTCCTGTAAAACCACAACAAATTACTTGTGTTTGTGCACACTTAAGTGGTGAATAAAGCTCATTCTGATTCTGTTTTCTAATATAACTAGCACAATTCACTTTTTGTGAGAAGAAAGCACCCCTACAACAACTTCTGAAAGTGAACCGTAGTGTTTTACTCTAGCATTACAAAAAAATGTCATTTTAACATTAGTGTAATCATTTTAACATAAGTTTAGGAACTGAATAATAAAAAGGAAAAATACAACACTGCTTAGTATTTACTCTATGAATTCAATATGCACTGATTCTTATTTAAGCTATAAAAGTTATTTAGGTAAGAGCAGTGAGTTATTTTCTCTTTGTGTTTTGTTCATGGCCCCATATATTGCAAGCCGTAGCAATATGCATATTGCGATATGTATATTTGCGATATTTCGATAATTTCGATATATTGCACAACCCTGTGTACACATTCAGTTATATTCATGACTATTAAGGTAAGTTATCGATCATCAAGAATACCATTATGATGTCCTTTACGAGACCGCATCGCTAGCTAGCTATCGTTAGCTTAAATAGTTATGATAGTGTTTAGTTGTAAGCAATTACACTCCTGGGATAAAGGTATAGTAACCATATTTTTTGGTGTATTGATTCCCATTTGTATAACTGCAGTTTTACAAATACCATGGTTAAACTATGATTAGTGTTTTCTGAAGGTTGTCATGGTCTCAAAAAAATAAAGTTTTCTGTGAGTGTTTTAGCTCTTACCCTTGATTCAGTGGTGAATTATCCACCCATTTCATGATGCCCTCGTTCTCTGTGTCAGACAAACCAATGCACGCACTCTCACTGACTAATGAAGATATGAACCTCTGTGTGAATAAAAACAAGAATAAGTGTGATTCTCTCATTCATTAACAGACACTCCCACAAACTCACCTGCTTCTCTTCAGTGTTGATAATGACCAGATCAGCACCACGATCCCTGCAGTACTGTCTGCTGTCAGACCAGCTCTTCAACTCAGTGGACATGAACAACCAACCTGAACCACACAGATTTTCATACATAAACACTTTTCAAAGCTATACAAAAATATGGGGGGGAAAACTTATACAAAAACAGGTTTGATCTAACCTCCTTTTGATGCTGCCTTCTTCAGTTCATCACTCAGAGACCTGACTTTGCTTTCTAACTTGATTTTGTTCTGTGTTAAATCAGTGTAACTGTCCTGTAAGCTGTTGATGGTTTGATTGAACTCTTCAACTGTGTTCTTATAACTCTTTATCAGGTCTCTCTCTGCTGTGATGGTGATGTGCTTCAGTATGATGAAGACCAGCAGAAGAACACAAATGAGCCCGAGACCCACTGTGATCAACACCAAACATCTACTTCCTCCTGACAAACACCACCAAAACACACACATATCAGTTAATAACAATTCACTGAATATCATTAGATCAACCTGTAAGTAAAGTGTATGTTTATTTATAATGACAAACAAATGGAATTCCTATAAAGTAAAATATGTATTCAAAAACATGATTATGCTTAAAATAATGATGTTAAACTGTTAATACACTTCATTTAAAACCAGAAACCGTGTTCATAGAAAACAGTGACTGAAATTGTATAACAGTTTTTAGTTCCTCAATCTCTGCTTCAAAAGAAACCTGCTTACTGCATTTTTGAGCTTTTCCTTCATCCTGGCTGTGACTCTGTGTTTGAGGTCCAGATGTGTCCTTAATGTCTTTGTGTTCAACATTTTGATAAATGGTCTCGATCTCCATTAGTCTCTGTGGCTGACCGTCTTCACAGATGAGTTGTGATTTTTAGTATGTTTCCTAGTGTTTTTAAAACCTACAGGAAGTGATTTCATTTCCGAAGCTGGTTACAAAATCATAAGATGTGGTGGCGCATGATGCAGTACTTGAGTTTCTATTGCAAGTACATTTTCTTCTCTGAATCATAAGGATCAGCATACTTTATGCAAACATAAACTTCTGACAAACGAAAACCATGACAGTCATGTATGAACAAACTGTATCCCATCACAGGTCTGTGTCAGTAAAAAGCATCAAATATCAATAACAATTCACTCCAAATTATTCGATACAACATTTAAAATCAACCTTCAATCCACTGTCGTATTTAGAAAATATAGGGCATTTAAAAAGCATTTTCTTTTAGAAAGACAAACATAAGTAAAATATTCAAACAAGACCACATGCTGGAAAAGTAGAAAAACAATTCCATGTTAATATACTTGATATAAAAGCAGAAAGAACAAGTTAATGTGCCTCAGCTTGACCATTTCAGTGTTAAACCCTCAGACATGTATATTCAATTGTTTTGATGGAGGGAAACAAGCTACAATTCTAGTTTTAGCATTATTTATTCTTCATACGTTCCCCTTTAAATGCATTACATATCAGTTGTATGTAAAGTGACCCAAATTTGGTATTTGACCACTGAAAATTGGTAATATTCAACAATTTGGACATGGAGCCACATTGAAATCCCTAGAAATAGGGCCTTACAAGTGAAGATACCAAAAGAAAAGTTTCATAACTAAAATATAGCCTAAAAGGATATTAGGATGTCTTTAATACTAACCTTCTTCATTTATGTATTTCTTTCACCACGAGAAAAAAAAATAAAATAATTGGAGCCAGGACCGATCTGGTTGAGTTGACGTCTTCACGGATGATCTGTGATGTTTGGAAGGAATGATGACTATAAGTGTTTTAAAATAGTGCTAAATCTACACAGGAAGTTATTTCATTTGGCTCTGGGCTTCAAGAATAATATTTGCTGATAAGAATATTTTCTGAAAAGAGAAAAAGGTTACACATTCTGGTGTGAGTTTGCTGTCAAGTGTCGCTATAGTCACATTTTCTTAGTGTTCAATCTTTTTTTTTTTTTTTCTCGCTAAGAGTGAATAAATAAACAGTCTAAAAAGCAAAACTTATAATAGTACTGAAATGCATTTACCTTTAACTCTGAACTTAGATCTGGTTGAAGGAAGTTCGGAAGATTCTTTCCAGATCAGAGAAACAACAACAACAACAAGACACTCATCAGACAGCATTTGAAAACAGTTACTGAATCTGGTGTCCAACACCATGTCTTCTGATTCAAAGCGTTGGAGTTGAGTAATGAAAACAGGCAGCAGTAAGAAAGCATGTTTATAAGGCGTGCCGTTCATGAAGCCTTACAGTGTATGCACAAGAACTACTGACGCTCTACGTAGTCAATTTATAGGCCTATGATATGATATATAGCCTATAGTTTTATATGATCTCGTATCAGTTTTGTCAGTTTGTAGACATTTCAACGAGACATTTGTGTAATTAAAAGGATACATAGTAGTTAATAGACTCGTATTGCCCTGTTTAGACAAGCTCGCCACAAAACAGACGAAACAAGCCCTGCAAATTAATAATAATTATTTTAAGAAACACATACCGACACTTCATATTTAATGGTATTTTATTATTTTAATTGCATTTAATATATTATACTTTCAATTAAGCACTTGCATTGGGTTTGTAAAAGCTGCTTTTATGCATGTTTTTGACATGAGTTTTTGTTGCATTTACACAGTTTTGACCAGCAGGCATCACCAGCGTGTGGTTTACAGCGCTTCGAAACAGTGAATCATTTTGCGAAGCAATTGGTTCAGTTGATTCGAAGCTTCAAAAAGGTTTGTTTTTCCCATCACCAGCTGCAATCAATTTAAGTTCTAAATCTACGTAACTACATTAGTACCGAATACACTGCGGAAGATTGAAACACGTAAATATCTATAATTTGGCGGAAAAAACACTTGACTTTCTTGAGCACTTCAGTCTGATAAACCTGCTCTCTGCTGGACTGGAGGAAATCTCTCCATACAGAAATAAAGCAGATAAGAATGAATTAAAAATAAAATGAAAATAACAATGCAGTTTACTATGGTAACTGACAAATTTATTAAAAGAGAAAGCAATTACAGACACTCAACATCAGAATAACAGGGTGAATCTGGGTGATCTGGACACTTTAGACTTCTGTAGTTTTCTGTGATTGTCTCCTCAACACTTCAGACCAACAAATGAGACTCACGATAACAGCTAAAATAAGATCATATTAATACAGAGCTGCTTGTGTTGGAGCAAAACATGAACACATCAGAGGTTTTGTGTCCTGAATTCACACCATGTGAAACAAAGGTTATTATAGCAATAAGAAAATAATGACACTTTGACATTGTCCTTCTAACAAATTTCAGATCAGCTGGCAGTGTTTTAAAAGGCAGGAACCTCAATCAGAACTAATGTGTTGACAATAAGAATGACTATATTAGATAATAAAAGCAAAACCACAAGACGGGATGAACCCTATTTCTCACAAATCCCCTTTTTCTTCTCAGAGCATACATCATCATTCCAGCTGTTCAGCGGTGACCATCCCGTCTTCTCTCTATTATAATTCAGTTCAATACAGTCCTCATTTCCACCGTAGTTGCTTGGCTCACCTTTGAGCCAAAACCTGAACAACATGTATCAGAGGTGCAGTTTTTCAGAAACACAAATTTATGAATCAACAATACTCAGAATAATAGCACGTTTCGAGAGTAAACTAAAGTAGTACAGAAGCTAGAGCAGAAGTGAAAAGTAAACAAGAGAAGAAGAGTTTTCTTGACAGTATTTAAAATGTCTTTAATTGTGATTGTGTTGTTTGTGGAAGAGTTTTCTCTTCTGCTGTTTTCCGAAGGTTGTGATTTTATAATGAGAATCAAAAAGACTAAAACAAATGAACACAGTGATTTTTAGCTCTTACCCTTGATTCAATTAATAAGCCGGGTAAATGACGAGCAGTGTAAAAAGTGTTAACCCGGGGTTTAGAATGACCCTATTTTTAAGTGTGAAAAGCTCTTATCACTTACCCTTGTTTCAGTGGTGAATTATCCACCCATTTCATGTTGCCCTCCTGCTGTCTGTCAGACAAACCAATCCACACTCTCTCTTTGAATAAAGAATATACGAGCCTCTGTGTGTGTTTAAAATAAGAAAAGAGTGAGAATCTCCATTACATTGAACTCTGTGTTTGTCATCTGTCAGTCAACTAAAACTAATCCCAGATGGTTACTAGTGATAATAATGGGTATTCAACAGGAAGAAAAAATGAAACATATAAAAGACATGTTTGTTTTCATATTACTGTAGCACTGACTTTTAAAGCAGTGTTAAAAATTATAAATGTGAGACTGTGGCGACTTTTTTAATTACTTGTTTGTATGTGTGATGAAATCTATGTTAATTCAGAAATGCCTTGAACTAGTTGCATTTCACCTGCTTCTCTTCAGTGTTGATAATGACCAGATCAGCACCACGATCCCTGCAGTACTGTCTGCTGTCAGACCAGCTCTTCAACTCAGTGGACATGAAAAAACAAACTGGGCCCTTTTTATTCAAAGAGTCAAAATCTCTCTGTAACTGGTCTTTCTCAGCAGTGAGATCTTTGACTCTGGTCTCCAGGTTCTTCTGAGTCAAAGAGCTGAAGATGTTCTGCAGTTGTTGTTGTTGCTGTTTTCAGTCATTAACCTATAATAACCTTCCCAACACTGGTTAAAACTAAACTGAGAAATAAACAGTTTATGCTGTAACCAGTTCCTACAGGTGTACAAATTCTCTATTAAACCGTATTAATCTCAGTGTGAGAATTGTCTTTAGCGTCCTCAAGTGTATGAAGCTTTCTAACAGTGAGCAGAAAGATAGTTTTCATCTGACACTGACATATGAGCTGCTTCTCATTTCATAAATTGTACTTTCTCATTTTGTTTCCTTACTTCATTTTCTCATGTCTTCAATGCACGGAGAAATGCTGCCTCTGATCACTGATGCTCTGAAGTTTCCCCTGGTTTTACCGATAAAATACTCAAAACCTCAGCGCATCAATAGCAGCATAATCTGCTGGCTTGTGAAATGTACAACAGCCATAAACCTGGAAATATACCAAAGGGGACTAAAATTTCATTTGATAAACATTTTGTTTAGAGGAACAACTCCAGTGCACTGACTTCACAAAACAACTCGTCAGTCTCTTTCTTCAGTCTCAGCTGATTCATGAAATTGCTTCGAGACATGAGTGTTTTATTTGATTTTGAACCACAGGACTGGCTTGAGGCAAAACACCTTGTAGTTTTTATTCATAAATGTTCATAACTGGAATCAATTTAAGTACTAAATATATTCTAAACATTCTAAACAATAGAGAATCTTTGACTAAACCTTGTTAGTTAGCAATATGTCTCAGAGCTCCCCACTTAATTTCTTTAGTAAAGAACCTCAGCTTGATGGACAGCTGGACACAAGGCCTAACGTTACACCTGACGAGGATGTTTCTCCCTGCCCGGCCGGCATCAACAGGTAGGGTTGCCAACAGTTGCGTATAATGCGGAATCGTCCCGTGTTTAAGGCATCAAAGAAGCATTCCGAATGAAAGCTTTACGGAATTTGTCCCGTATTTTGCAGTTTGTCCCGTATTCGCAGGCATACGCCGTATGACCACCAGACCATGTGAATAACAAATTCTCAATTGATCAGTAATCATTCTTTTTGTGCAAATCATTGTTTCATTTACGAACATAGCCTTTCGAGGAAGGCTTTAGATCGGGCAGAATCCCGCTTCACAGAGAACGGTAACGGTAACTCGCCCTAACGACAATTCCCTTCACTGTCCGCGTTTTGATTTCGGCAAAACAGTTTGGGCGAATGCAAACAACATTGATCATGAGCACAACATCCAGCCAGGCAAGAAAACATGCAATCTACTTGAGGGTAGAAGTCTTTCACTATTATAAGTTAATGTTGTTAAATAGAGAGAGAAAAAAAAATACAAATGTTTAAAATTTTAACTTCTAGCATATTCATAAACTTAGACCTCATTATTGAAGCACAAATTCAAGCACCAAAAGCAGCACAAAGTTCTCTTTAAAAAAAAAAAATAATAATAATAATAATTAATATGCCACCATTTAATGCCACGGTTTAATTGGTAAATGAATATATTAGAGAGAGAAATTTAACACACACACACACAAACACACACACACACACACACACACACACACACACACACCCACACACACACATTGTTAAGCTTTTATTTGTGCACATAATATTGAAACTATGGAGTGTGTGGTGGCTTCGTCCGATGGAACTTTTCACAGGCTATTGGCTACTTTATTTTTTACTAACCACCAGATGGCGCTGTTTTCGACACTCTCGAAGCTTTGAATCTTTTCCGTCAACATGTGAGAAGTGGCGGTACGCCAGAAAAAGTGAAGGTAGGCTATACTAAAATGCATACCGGCCCTCTTCGATCACTGAAGGATAATAGAAGTAGGCTATAATACACATGACAAGGACGAACAATATTTCTCACAATTCCTTGTTTTCTATTGGCATTGAAGATCATTCCAGTTGCCAGGCTGGAAAAAAGAAAAGTAAAAAGACATCAGTTCAATACAGTCCTCTCCCTCAAGGTCATTCGGCTCACCCTTGGACCAAAATCTGAATCAAATATGACAGATATCAGAATTTAAAAAGCATAAGAGTTATTTAAAATAATAATAATTATTTAATGTTGCTCTCGTCTCTGTGTCAGACAAACAATTCCATACAATCTCCTTTGAATGAAGATATGATTTTTATTCACACACAGATCCCGTGTGTGAATAAAAACAGGAATGAGTGTGATTCCTCTCATCAAGTGTGATTCCTTTCATTCATTAACACTAACAGACACTCACACAAACTCACCCGCCTCTTCTCTTCACTGTTGATAATGACCAGACCAACACCATGAACAATCTCTACCATCATCTGTACACAGGTCTTCCACTTAGTTGCTCTGTTGCTGTTATTGTATACAGTATCTTTGTAAAGAGTTAATGATTTCAGTTTACATGATACATTTTCTTGATTTTCTCACACTGTTTTACTCGACACTCTCCACATACTACACTTAAAACTGATCTGAGCGATAAAGAGATTTATTATACTGATTTCAATTCCTACACGTTCACGTTCTGCTTTCTAGCTCCTTAGAAAGTATGGAAATGAAGGCTTGAAAGCCCTGGAAGCTAATTAAAGGAGATACTATTGGATTGAAGTGGGAAAAGATTCAAAGCCTCTTAAACAATAGTGCTATCTGCTGGAACCTACAATTTACAACAGCCATAAAGCCCGGAAGTATCAAACAAATCTGAGCTGAAAATGTTCCTAAATGGGGGAACTTTTTCTAGCAGATGTCATTTGTAGTATACGTATATAAGATTCCGTAACGTAAAAAAATATATAAATAAAAAATCCATACATAAATAAAAAATCCATCCTCACTAAACACCAACAGTAAAACTGTAGTTGTAGAAAAACTAATTATAGCAAATACATTTAGAAAATAAACTCAAAAACAGTTTGACAGAAAAATATAATGTAATAAACATGAGAACATATTTCAGCAATAAAAATTACAAGTTCACATTTTTCCTTTCATTTAAATATCCACTTGAATATCCATTACAGAAAATTATACAACAGAATTGATATCATGAAAGCAGTCTACATAAAATTAAAGTAGCTGACTGGGTTCAAATTAGATTGCTAAATCAGAAATTACAATAAAATTATTCCATAAAATAAAAGTAAAAGCATAAGACAGGATGACCCTATTTCTCACAAATTGCTTTTTTCAAATCTGAGCATGCGAGATCATTCCAGGTGTTCAGGCTGGAACAATATGGGCAAAATTGCATTTCAATACAGTCCTCATTTCCACCGGCATCATTCGGCTCATATGGGAAAAAAAACCTGAATAAAATGTGGCAGATTTTCAGTTATTCAGGACCCCAAATCTTTAAGTATCCCAACGTTTTTACTCCTTACGTAACCAGGAAATAATGATTATTTTGAACAAATGCAAAATGACTAACAAATGAGGAACACTTAATTAAGAAAGCAATAAGCAGCAAGAGAGGAAGCAGAAAGAAGTTTGCACTTACATATAATCTGACTGAGCAAATAGTATGCATATTTTATTTATATCATTTACAGTTAAGTATATAAGTGTAAGATTTACGTTGTGCACTGAGGAAAACAAGTTTCAAATTCATTAAACAACACATGCGTCTGACAGTAGGTCAAACAGCATAGATAAATGATTTAGTTCAGACTCTTTTGACTGATAAGTGACAACATCAGCTTATGTGCAGCTTTGTAGCATGGCCGGGTATACAATGCTTGTTCCCATTATCTCAGGGAACAAAGTTTACGCTAGTAACCAGAGTGTTCCCTTTCAATACACTTCACTCACATTGCGTGCCTAGCCAGTTTCGGCAGTCGCATCAGCTCTTTGTGTGCTTTGATATGTATGTACTGTATATATATAAGATATATATATATATATATATATATATATCTTAAAGGCCCGGACCTGGCAGAGTAAATTTGTACCATACTCATCCTCTGAAGCAAGAAGAGCCAAGG